AACGGGACTCTCGAAACTACAACATTCTTTGCTTTCCTAAAACAAGATGCCCCCCACGGCTATACAACTCCATCCACCGGGCGGACAGGACAGTGGAGTCGGGAAATCGAGGGGGTGGAGGGGTTTGCCTCTACATCAACACCAACTGGTGTGCTAATTCCAGCGCGGTGGAAGTGTCGACCCACTGTTCACCTGTCTTGGAATACATAATGGTCAAATGCTGACCCTTCTACCTCCTGAGGGAGTTTCAGCTGTTATCGTGACTGTTGTATACAGTCCACCTCAGGACAAGAACAATAACAAGCTGGCACTTAACAAACAGTACGAGGCTGTAACCAAGCAGGAAAACCTACATCCAGAGGCTGCTTTTCTGGTTGCCGGCAATTTTTATTCCGCGTCATCTCTCCAATGCCACTAGGGGTAAAAAAGTCCTAGACCACTGTTATTCTACCCACAAGCAAGCATAGAAGGCCCTCCCTCGTCCGCCATTCGGCAAATCAGATCATGACTCCGTACTCCTGCGTCCTGTGTACAACCAGAAACTCTAAACAGCAAGTACCCATGACTCGCTCCGTTGAGAAATGGTCACCTAAGTCACCTGAGTCAGCGATTATGCTACAGGACTGCTTTGCTAGCGCCGATTGGAATACATGTTTCAAGACTCTGCCGACAAGCTAACCACCGTCATCGGCTTCATTAGGAAATGTATCGCAGATGTTGTCCACACGGTGAGGGTTAGCTGATTCCCAAATCAAAAGCCCTGGATTAACACCGAGGTTGGCGCTAAACTAAAGGGCAGGGCTACCACACACAGAGCTATCGCTGATGTTACGGCCGAAGACAGGAACAAGTCCAAGAAGTCACGCTATGACCTCTGCAGAGTCATCAAACGAGCAAAAGGACAATATAGGAATAAGGTGGAATGATATTACACAGGCTCTGATCCCCGCCGCATGTGGCAGGGGCTACAGTCTATTATGGATTACAAAGGAAGACCCAGCTGTGATCTGCCCAACGATGCCTCTCTACCACACGAACTCAATGCATTTTATGCACGCTTCGATAACAACAACATCGAGTCGGGTGTGAGGTCCGTCACCGACCAAGAGGTTTGGGTGATCTCGCTCTCCGAGGCTGACGTGAGAAATGCATTTAATCAGGTCAACACCCACAAGGCTGTGGGGCCCGATGATATTCTGCGTTCTCAGAACATGCGCTAAACAGCTGGCAGGCATATTCATTTTACATTTACATTTTAGTCATTTAGCAGACGCTCTTATCCAGAGCGACTTACAGTTAGTGAGTGCATACATTTTCATACATATATTCACAGTACATTTCAACCTCTCCTTGTCCCAGTCTGTATCAGAGCTCCCTGCCATCCAGGACCTCTATATCAGAGCTCCCTGCCATCCAGGACCTCTATACCAGAGCTCCCTGCCATCCATGACCTCTATATCAGAGCTCCCTGCCATCCAGGACCTCTATATCAGAGCTCCCTGCCATCCAGGACCTCTATATCACAGCTCCCTGCCATCCAGGACCTCTATATCAGAGCTCCCTGCCATCCATGACCTCTATATCAGAGCTCCCTGCCATCCAGGACCTCTATATCAGAGCTCCCTGCCATCCAGGACCTCTATATCAGAGCTCCCTGCCACCCAGGACCTCTATACCAGGCGGTGTGGAAGGAAGGCCTGGAAATTGTTAAAGACTCCAACCACCCAAGCCATAGACTGTTCTCTCTGCTTCCGCACAGCAAGAGGTACCGGAGCATCAAGTCTGACACCAACAGGCTCCTGAACAGCTTCTATCCCCAAGCCATAAGACTGATGAATAGCTATCTAAATAGCTACACTGACTATCTGAGTTAACCTTGTATCCTCATTTTACACTGTCTCTGTTCACACTCACAGGGCCCTACACACTCACACAAACACTCACTCCATCATCTGATCACTCACACACACTGTCACCCCAACACTCACTCTATCATCTGATCACTCACACATAATATGCACATACATTTATACTGACTCTACACACCCACACACCCCCTCACATACAAGCTGCTGCTACTCTGTTTATCTTATATCCTGTTGCCTAGTCACCTGACCCCTTTACATATCTACCTCTATCACTCCAGTATCCCTGCACATTGTTAATATGGTATAGAAGTGACCCTGTATATAGTCACCTTACCCCTATACATATCTACCTCCATCACTCCAGTATCCCTGCACATTGTTAATATGGTATTGGAACTGACCCTGTATATAGTCACCTGACCCCTATACATATCTACCTCCATCACTCCAGTATCCCTGTGTTAGCAATTGATGTTATTCTTCAATAACACAGACCCCAAAGCAAATCAGGGGGAGAAAAATATATTTATTCAAAGAGAACAAACCCTAGTTGTTATGCTGGAAAGTGGATGGTGGATGTTCATTCTTGTTTTCTCCACTGAACAAAGAGACAGGATGTAGTTGATACCCAAGCCTAGCCTGTGATTGACCAATTAGAATTGCTTGCAATACAATCGGGCCAATGGCCAAATACCAAGTATCCCGTTTCAGGCTCAATGTATAGACAATTTGGACCAATGAGAACTTGCCACACGTAGCTATGAGTCCCGGACTGGAGCCCCTACACAGATTCTAAACAGATGTTGAACTGAAGAACAACTCGTGTCCCTGACCCATTAATCAAATCAAATCAAATCAAATAGAATCAAATCAAATTTTAGTTGTCACATACACGTGTTTAGCAGATGTTATAGCGGGTGTAGTGAAATGCTTGTGCTTAATCTTCAGTTCCCAATTACAGAATAACCACTATTTCCATTGATCGTTAATTCCCTGCGTTGTGTATTTACCTTCTAATATTCTTACACCTGCACGTTGTAAATATGGTATTGGAACTGACCCTGTGTATAGTATGGTGTAGTAGTCTGAGTGTAGTTATTTGTGAGGAAATAAGTGATCCAACTGCCCCTACAAACCAAAGTAGTAAGGTTGATAGTGTAATATATCAAAGTAATCAGACCAATTATTTTGCTAAATTTAACTTTTGACTATATTTAAATTCTTGACTTGACATGTTCAACTTCTTCCACTACCACAGAAATGAAGAGTTAAAGCAAGTCCCACCTCATTTTCTTGATGGAAAATTACCATCTAGTTCTACTCTATTCCTACAGGCAGATCTGTGTGCTGTCAGTCCATTTGGTGCAGCTGTTCCATCGATCTCCCCCAGAGCCATACAGATCCATATCAATCTCTGTCTACATTTCTGTCACGTTTTTTAACTTTAGGTCAAATAAAGGTACAGTGGGGAAAAAAAGTATTTAGTCAGCCACCAATTGTGCAAGTTCTCCCACTTAAAAATATGAGAGAGGCCTGTAATTTTCATCATAGGTACACGTCAACTATGACAGACAAATTGAGGGGAAAAATCCAGAAAATCACATTGTAGGATTTTTTATGAATTTATTTGCAAATCACGGTGGAAAATAAGTATTTGGTCACCTACAAACAAGCAAGATTTCTGGCTCTCACAGACCTGTAACTTCTTCTTTAAGAGGCTCCTCTGTCCTCCACTCGTTACCTGTATTAATGGCACCTCTTTGAACTTGTTATCAGTATAAAAGACACTTGTCCACAACCTCAAACAGTCACATTCCAAACTCCACTATGGCCAAGACCAAAGAGCTGTCAAACGACACCAGAAACAAAATTGTAGACCTGCACCAGGCTGGGAAGGCTGAATCTGCAATAGGTAAGCAGCTTGGTTTGAAGAAATCAACTGTGGGAGCAATTATTAGGAAATGGAAGATATACAAGACCACTGATAATCTCCCTCGATCTGGGGCTCCACGCAAGATCTCACCCCGTGGGGTCAAAATGATCACAAGAACGGTGAGCAAAAATCCGAGAACCACACGGGGGGACTTAGTGAATGACCTGCAGAGAGCTGGGACCAAAGTAACAAAGCCTACCATCAGTAACACACTACGCCGCCAGGGACTCAAATCCTGCAGTGCCAGACGTGTCCCCCTGCTTAAGCCAGTACATGTCCAGGCCCGTCTGAAGTTTGCTAGAGTGCATTTGGATGATCCAGAAGAGGATTGGGAGAATGTCATATGGTCAGATGAAACCAAAATAGAACTTTTTGGTAAAAACTCAACTCGTCGTGTTTGGAGGACAAAGAATGCTGAGTTGCATCCAAAGAACACCATACCTACTGTGAAGCATGGGGGTGGAAACATCATGCTTTGGGTCTGTTTTTCTGCAAAGGGACCAGGACGACTGATCCCGTGTAACGGAAAGAATGAATGGGGCCATGTATCGTGAGATTTTGAGTGAAAACCTCCTTCCATCAGCAAGGGCATTGAAGATGAAACGTGGCTGGGTCTTTCAGCATGACAATGATCCCAAACACACCGCCCGGGCAACGAAGGAGTGGCTTCGTAAGAAGCATTTCAAGGTCCTGGAGTGGCCTAGCCAGTCTCCAGATCTCAACCCCATGGAAAATCTTTGGAGGGAGTTGAAAGTCCGTGTTGCCCAGCGACAGCCCCAAAACATCTCTGCTCTAGAGGAGATCTGCATGGAGGAATGGGCCAAAATACCAGCAACAGTGTGTGAAAACCTTGTGAAGACTTACAGAAAACGTTTGACCTGTGTCATTGCCAACAAAGGGTATATAACAAAGTATTGAAAAACTTTTGTTATCGACGAAATACTTATTTTCCACCATAATTTGCAAATAAATTCATAAAAAATCCTACAATGTGATTTTCAGGATTTTTTTTCTCATTTTGTCTGTCATAGTTGACGTGTACCTATGATGAAAATTACAGGCCTCTCTCATCTTTTTAAGTGGGAGAACTTGTACAATTGGTGGCTGACTAAATACTTTTTTTCCCCACTGTACAATTTTATTACAAATAAAATATAGTAGATCTCTGTCTACAGCTCTGGTTGCCCCCCAGTGGTCAGTCAGGTGTAGTGCACCATGCTGTCCTCACACTCCCGGGGCACAGTGAGCGTATAACTGTGGCAGGAAAGCTTGTAGTTGTTCCCATCGTTGTTGTCCCAGTACTCAGCTCCCATCACCCTGTAACACACAGCGAACTCCAGCAGGGCTCCGGGCTGCAGGATGAACGGAGGGACGGGTAGACGGAACCGGAAGACATCAGACTCTGGTCCCTCCGTCTGATCCCTGTGTAGGGTTGCCACCCAGCAGGCTCCGGTCTCAGCACTGCTCCTCCAGTTGGTGAAGGAGTAGTAGATCGTCACCTCCTTGTTGAAGGCCAGGTTGAGGACCTGCACCGTGCCGATGATGCCCAGCTCAGAGCACAGGACCTGGTCCAGAGAGACCACCTGCCCCACCAGGCTCTGAACAAATCCCGGCTGGGAGCCCCTGTTCTCGGGGAAGCAGGGCTTGAAGTAGGGCAGGGAAAGCTCCAGGGACCGGCCTGAGTTCATCTCAGAGCTCATCAGGAGTCTGGAGAAGACGTGGGGTGGGATACGAGGCTCCTCTCCCTTCTTGAACACCTTGACATCCTCCAGCTCCAAGCCTAAGGAGTCCACGAAACGGACCTGGCGGTCTCTGATTCTCTCGTGGACCGAGGGCAGAGACTGGGCCCTGCGTCTCATGATGGGCTGGGTAGGAGGGTCACTGGACAGGCTGCGAAAGAACATGGGCTCCTTGGGGGGCGGGGGCAGTGGGCTGGGGGGCCGGATCCTGACAGGGGCCTTGGTTGGCTCTGGTTTGGAGTCCAAGATGTCCGTCTTAGTAATGGTCTTGCTGCTGTACTGCAGCTCACCAAGAGGCCAGGCTATCTCTCTCCCCTCCAAGGCTGGAGCCATCCACTCTTGTCTCCCAGGAGAAAATGTCCTCTGCCCCGCTATCATGCCTGGTGAAACGGCCCTCTGCCCCGCTATCATGCCTGGTGAAACTGCTCTGGGTTTACCTTTGATGCCTGGTGAAACTGCTCTGGGTTTACCTTTGATGCATGGAGACACTGTTTTCAGTCTGTCGTTATCCCTCTCCTTCCCAACGCCACCAGGAGACAGTGCTCTGGACCTCCCCACGCTGTCCATGCTACTCATCATACACACGGGACTGGCAAGGACAGGAGAGACAACACAACAGTTAGTACACTGTAACAACTAATGTTGTCCACCCGCTCTCTCTTTCAGGAAGCAAATGAGTCTGGAGAAAAGGTTATAGGAGAACCAACACAACATCATATGCTAGTTATTGTCACGGTTTCGGCCGAGGCTGCTCCTTCTCCTTGTTCGGGCAGGCTTCGGTGGTCGTCGTCTCCGGAGTACTAGCTGCCACCGTTCTATGTTTCGATGTTTGTTTGGTTTTGTCTGTTTTGTTCCACCTGTTCCTTGTTAGTGTTAATTATGCGTCCTATAAGTTCTCTTGGGTTTTGTCATGTGTTGTGTGTAATTGTTCGTTGTCATTTTTGGGATGCTGGTTCGTTTATCTCTCTGTTTGTTTTTTTAGAGAGTTCCGCACAGTGTGTGCCTTTTGTTTGTACTATACCGGTGTGCGTAAAGTTCGCTTGCCTGCCAGGTTGTATTTAGCCGTGTTTGGCTTGTTCTGTTTGTCTTTACTAAAGACGTTAGTACGAAGCCTCTGTGTGTCCTGCGCTTGATTCCACACCACATCTACACTCAACCTTGACAGAATTACACACCCTTCACCATGGAATCAGCAGGAGCAGCCTCGGCCGAAACCAAGGTTATTGAGGAGCGCCTTCGTGGACAGGAGGACAGGATCAACCAGATCGGGCGAGTGATGAACACCCTCCATCGATGGGAGACCAGCGGGGTACCCACACCCCCACCTACCACACCATCACCATCGGTCAGTCCACCTGTCCAACTTCCGGAACCCAGTGGGATTCGGCTCTCGCTCCCGAGGGCGTACGACGGCACCACTGCCGGGTGTCAGGGTTTCCTGTTGCAAGTCGAACTCTACCTTGCCACCGTACACCCGGCACCCTCGGGACACGAGAGCGTTTCCGCCCTCATCTCCTGTCTCACCGGCAAGGCGTTGGAGTGGGCCAACGCCGAATGGAGGAGGATAGACGCCGCAATGATCACCTATGCGGAGTTCTCCCGCCGCTTCCGGGCAGTGTTCGACCATCCACCTGAGGGGAATGCGGCGGGGGAGCGTCTATTCTACCTCCGACAGGGGATGAGGAGCGCTCAAGAGTTTGCACTGGAGTTCCGGACTCTAGCGGCAGATGCAGGGTGGAATGAGCGGGCCCTCATAGATCACTTCCGCTGCAGCCTCCGGGAGGACGTCCGTAGAGAGTTGGCGTGCAGGGATACCACGCTTTCATTTGACCAATTGGTTGACATGGCCATTCGGCTAGACACCCTGCTCGCCACCCGCGGACGTCCTGGGTGGGGGTCGCCCATTCCACCCTCCAGCACCTCCGAGCCAAGTCCCATGGAGCTCGGGGGTGCTGGCGCTAGAGAACGGAGGAGAAGGAGCCCGAGGGGGGCCGTCCCCTGCACCAACTGTGGCCGTGGAGGGCACACCGCGGCTAGGTGCTGGGGAGGGTCTCCTGGAGGACGAGACGGCAGGCCACACATTGGGGAGTCCTCCCAGGTGAGTAGGCACCCCACTTACCCAGAGCTTTCTGTCGTGCACATAACCATACCTGTTTGTTTTTCACAGGTTGCAGCTCGTTCCCAGCATAAGGCGCTAGTAGATTCAGGCGCAGCTGGGAATTTTGTAGATCGTAAATTTTGTATAGAGTTAGGGATCCCTCTCCTTCCGGTTAATAATCCCTTCCCTGTACATGCCCTAGATAGCCGTCCGTTAGGATCCGGGTTGATTAGGGAGGTCACAGTGCCACTTAGGATGGAGACGCAGGGGGGTCATGAGGAGACGATTCAGCTATATCTGATCGACTCTCCTGCGTATCCGGTGGTGCTGGGGCTTCCCTGGTTGATTACTCATGATCCTACCATTTTGTGGCGAGAGAGGGCTCTTAAGGGGTGGTCTGCCCAGTGTGTGGGGCTATGTCTGGGTGTTTCCGTAGGGGCGACCTCGGTGGAGAGTCCAAACCAAATGCCCGCAATGCACGTTCCCCCCGAGTATGAGGATTTAGCACTCGTGTTTAGCAAGGCGAGGGCGGCGCGATTGCCACCTCATAGACAGGGGGATTGTGCGATAGACCTCCAGGCAGGAGCTATGTGTATCCTTTGTCACAAGAGGAGAAGAGGGCGATGGAGACATACATTGCCGAGTCTCTGAGACAGGGATACATACGGCCCTCCACTTCCCCTGCGTCCTCGAGCTTCTTTTTTGTGAAGAAAAAAGATGGTGGTTTACGCCCGTGTATTGATTACCGCGGTCTCAATCAGATTACTGTGAAATATAGTTATCCACTCCCTCTGATTGCGACTATGACGGAGTCATTACACAGGGCACGGTTCTTCACAAAATTGGACCTCAGGAGCGCATACAACTTGGTGCGCATTAGAGAGGGCGATGAATGGAAGACAGCATTTAGTACCACCTCGGGCCATTACGAGTATCTCGTCATGCCATACGGGTTAATGAATGCTCCATCAGTCTTCCAATCCTTTGTGGATGAGATTTTCCGGGACATGCAGGGGCAGGGAGTAGTCGTGTACATAGAAGATATTCTGGTGTACAGTTCTACCCGAGCCGAGCATGTAGCCCTGGTGCGCCGAGTGTTGAGGAGGCTGTTGGAGCATGACCTGTATGTCAAGGCGGAGAAATGTCTGTTCTTCCCGGAGTCGGTCTCCTTTTTGGGTTATCAGTTGTCCGCGTCAGGGGTGAAGATGGAGGTTGACCGTGTGTCAGCCGTGCGTAATTGGCAAACCCCAACCACGGTTAAAGAGGTGCAGCAGTTCTTGGGCTTTGCGAATTACTACCGGAGGTTTATCCGGGGTTTTGGACAGGTGGCAGCTCCCATAACATCCCTTCTGAAGGGGGGTCCGGTGCGCTTGCGGTGGTCAGCTGAGGCGAACAGGGCTTTTGGGAGACTGAAGGACCTGTTTACTTCGGCTCCGGTGCTGGCGCATCCGGATCCCGCTTTACCATTCCAAATGGAGGTGGACGCGTCAGAAGCCGGTATCGGGGCCGTTCTCTCGCAACGGTCCGGCACACCACCTAAACTCCGCCCTTGTGCTTTTTACTCGAAAAAGCTCAGTCCGGCGGAGCGAAATTATGACGTATGGGACAGGGAGCTGTTAGCCGTGGTACAGGCCCTAAAGGTGTGGAGGCATTGGCTTGAGGGGGCTCAACACCCTTTTCTCATTTTGACTGACCACCGTAACCTGGAATACATTCGGGCAGCTAGGAGACTAAATCCTCGCCAGGCTCGGTGGACTATGTTTCTAGCCCGGTTCGTGTTTAAGATCACTTACATCCCTGGGTCCCAGAACGGAAAGGCAGACGCCCTGTCTCGGCGGTATGACACAGAGGAGAGGTCCGTTGAGCCCACTCCCATACTACCAAAGTCTTGTCTGGTGGCACCGGTGGTATGGGAGGTCGATACGGAGATCGAGTGGGCGTTACGCACCGACCCTAGCCCTCCACAGTGTCCGGTGGGTCGGACGTACGTTCCGCTCGAGGTTCGGGATCGACTCATTTATTGGGCTCACACGTCACCCTCCTCTGGGCATCCAGGTATTGGCCGGACAGTGCACTGCCTTAGCACAAAGTACTGGTGGCCAACGTAAGCCAGGGATGTGAGGGTTTATGTCTCCTCCTGCTCGGTGTGTGCCCAGTGTAAGGCGCCCAGACACTTGCCCAGGGGTAAGTTACAACCCCTGCCCGTTCCACAACGACCCTGGTCTCACCTCTCGGTGGATTTTGTTACAGACCTTCCCCCCTCACAGGGGAATACCACCATCCTGGTCGTTGTGGATCGGTTCTCGAAGGCCTGTCGTCTCCTTCCCATGCCGGGTCTTCCTACTGCCCTACAGAACGCTGAGGCACTATTCACTCACGTCTTCCGGCATTACGGGGTACCCGAGGATATAGTGTCTGATCGAGGCCCCCAGTTTACCTCCAGAGTCTGGAGAGCGTTCATGGAGCGTTTGGGGGTTTCGGTGCACCTTACCTCGGGTTACCACCCGGAGAGCAATGGGCAGGTCGAACGTGTAACCAGGATGTGGGTAGGTTTCTGAGGTCGTATTGCCAGGGCCGGCCGGAGGAGTGGGCGAGGTATGTTCCCTGGGCCGAGATGGCACAGAACTCTCTCCGCCACTCCTCCACTAAACTAACTCCTTTCCAGTGTGTGTTAGGGTACCAGCCGGCTCTGGCACCTTGGCATCAGAGCCAGATCGAGGCCCCTGCGGTGGATGAGTGGGTGCGGCGCTCGGAGGAGACGTGGAACGCTGCACACGTCCATCTGCAGCGGGCCATCCGTCGACATAAGACGAGCGCCGATCTCCACCGCAGTGAGGGGCCGGTGTACACACCGGGAGATCGAGTCTGGCTCTCGACCAGAAACCTGCCCCTCCGCCTGCCCTGCCGGAAGCTGGGTCGGCGGTTTGTGGGGCCTTTTAAAGTCCTGAGGAGATTGAACGAGGTGTGTTACAGGTTACAACTGCCAATTGATTACAAGAATATTAACCCCTCGTTCCATGTGTCTCTCCTCAGGCCGGTGGTAGCTGGTCCACTCCAGGACTATGAGATAGAAGAGACTCCTCCGCCCCCGCTGGACATCGAGGGGGCTCCGGCGTACACTGTTCGGTCCATCCTGGATTCGAGACGCCGGATGGGGGGTCTCCAATATCTCGTGGAGTGGGAGGGGTACGGCCCGGAGGAGCGGTGCTGGGTGCCGAGGAGGGACATCCTAGACCTGTCTCTTCTGATCGAGTTCCATCGTGGTCATCCCACGCGCCCTGCTCCGCGTCTTCCTGGTCGTCCTCGAGGCCGGGGTCGGCGCACGGCTGGAGCCGCGCGTCAAGGGGGGGGTAATGTCACGGTTTCGGCCGAGGCTGCTCCTTCTCCTTGTTCGGGCAGGCTTCGGCGGTCGTCGTCTCCGGAGTACTAGCTGCCATCGTTCTATGTTTCGATGTTTGTTTGGTTTTGTCTGTTTTGTTAC